AGATCCTGATACGCTTGGGGGTTGAGAGGAGGGAAATCGGGACCTGATTCGCCGGCGAGTTTTGGATAGGCGTTAAACAGGGAACAAGAGTTTTTCTACGGTGAAACAAAAACGCGCTTTGCAAGGAGACAAGGGTTGCACTGCCAAGGAGAGCGGAAGGTGAGGAAAAGCAGGCGCTGGAGCTGAACAGGAAGGGAATTCCTGCGGTTGGTTTCTCACCTGGCCAGCAAAGGTCTCCTCACCTGGTGATGGCCCTCTTATTCTTTCAATGTGATGGCGTTAAGAGGGCTCTTTCTGCATGGAACATGGTCATCCCTGGGTCATGCCAGAGCCTGGGGCTGGCCCTGTTCTACATGTGCAAGTGGCAGGGGGGGAGGGCAAGAAACAGCAGAGGGACATGGGGGCAGAGTTTGCTGCAGGAGAGGCAAGGGGGAGGGGGCAGAAAGAGAGGCAGGGGAAAGGGGGAGAGTTTGCAGCCTTATTTTATTATTTCCCATTAAAACTCCCCCCTTTTGCTGCACCTCTTTTTAGGAATAGCCAAAGGTCTTTGGTTTCCTGCACAAAAGTTTGGTGCAGAGGGAGCAAAAATAGGTAATTAGTAAAAAGGAAGAGGAGAGAAATGCCAATGAAAAACAAGGCCTTTTTGGCAAAAAGGGAGATATTGGGGAGCCAGCCACCAACCCAGTTAGTGAAGGAACTGAAGTCCAGGGTGGCGTCCTGGGTGACGTGGAAAAGACCAGTTATCTGCTGGATCACATGCATATTGTTTTCAATCTGATTATGTGGGTTGACATAAAAGCAGCAAGATGTGTTAAGCACCAGCAAACTCCTTGTGAATGGTTACTGCAGGGATAGAGGAAATATTGTGCAAACCACTCTGAGGTAAGTCTGCTGCTGATTGCCTGGTCTCATTAGGAGTGATGGGGGGTGGGCAGAAAGAAGAAAAAAGGGTTTCCCTGGGGAAAGGGCTGACTGGGATATGCAAGTAGAGTGGGAGAAGAGATTTCTGAAATAGACTCTGTATTATAGTAATGGAGAGTATAGAAGACAGTGCTGAGTGGGGTATTAAGGGGGTGCGTGAAGTGGGGGTTCATGGGTCAGAGGAATTCACAATTGCCCCAATATCCGTGAATGCAAGGGAGCCCAAAATGTAGACAGGAGTGCCTGAACAGTGTCTTGGGCTAAAAGAAACCAATCTCCAGCCCCCCAAAAGTTGCAAACGGGAAGTGTTTGACATAGTTCTGACAACCAATTCAATTCCCCCCTGAGGTCCACTTAGAAATGTCTACCACTGTCCCTCTTGGCACAAGGCCGAGTTGCACTAGAGGCAGAAGTCCAGATATTGAAGTGGTCGAGCAGGTTGAGAGTTGGTTGAGGCAGGTCTGGACATGAAAAGCACAGGTCTCTCCTTCTGGTTCTCCTTTTGGGGAGAGGCTTAGAAGAGTCGGTCCCTATATTGTCGAAGGCTTTCACGGCCGGCATACGATGGCTGGTGTGGGTCTTCCAGGCTGTGTGGCCGTGTTCTGGAAGTTTTG